ATATATATATATATATATATATATATGGAATGATGCTTTTATACATATATATATATATATTCAATATTTTTCTTCAACTTTGGTTTTTCATTTTATATACTTGAGCCAACTGATGGTGCTTTTCTGTTAGACATTGTAAGCACTAATTCCATTCAATAACATTTCTTAACTCGTTTTTGTATATTTTGTGATTTTGTTCCCTTCTGCCACATGTCAAGCAATTGTTGGTTGTGTTTATAAATTATAATATTCATGCAATAATGAATTTAAGACTAAAGATGGCCACTGACAGTCATTCAAATTACTTCATGTTAAATAGAACCCTACTAATCAAGATTATAAAATCTCTGAATGAATTTGATAAACAAAATGTTTATCAATATTTTTTTATTTATCAAAACATAAGGAAAAGAAAAAATAAGAACTGAGGCTTGAAATAATTACAGATAAAACAAAATATATGGTTAGTTTCAGAAACGGTGATGATTTCAGTGATAAAGATTCCATATGAGGGAAAATATTTGAATATGTAGGAAAATTTATTGATGGAAGTTTATCGACTGTTCTACATGGGTGATAAATATTCAGGACGCAGTCATTATAAAGTTTTTATTAATGCCGACGTTTCAACCCAAACATGTGGGTTCATCAGGGCTGAAAAATTGTTTAATACATTCAGAGATATAATATTATACAACAGGTAATGGTTAATAATAACAAAAAAGTGATTGATGATACATGAAATTGTCAAATGAAATATGTAAAAAGTTATAAACTAAAAATAATGTATATAACGAATTTATAAAATATGTAATATTCACTCTTACTAACCGTGTTTTGAGCACTGAAGGTATTCAAGTACTGACCCGTTGGTAGGTAAGTAAAAAGGGTCGGTATTGAATTTTCCAGCTGTTTTTAAGATAAAAAAAGATAGGTAGACATAGTGAGAGGGAAGGGGGAAAGGGGTTTCATTTCTGTTTATAGCATGCAAATAATTTGTTAACTAAAAAATTTAAGATATTTAAGCAGGATTTTTAAACATACAATAGTCTGAGTGAAGCTATACAATAGTTAGCCAAATAATATTTACAATACAGGCAATTGTAATGAATTGAAATGGTAAGTAGTACAATATATTATAAAATATTTTAAGAATAACAATATTGATCCTTAAAAAAAAACTATTATATTAAGGATTACATAGTACTAATAGTATAAGTATAAATATATCTGTGCCTGTATATATTTTTATTGTGAATAGTTACATCAATATGTTGATAAGGAAATGGGGAAAATGAAAAACAATTTTTTAAATTATTATATATTGTTGTTTGAGGAGGCTGAAATTGTTTGAATATGTATTGCAAATCTTTTCTTTGTCTGCTTTATGGTTTACCGGATTATTTTTTTCCAAATTAATGAATATAGCTTCCAAAAATAATCGTTTTTGGTGGTTGGGACCAGGATTTTTGAGTTTGGTTTATAGATTTCTTAATTTACTGTTATTTTTGAAAACTATGTGTAGATGAGGGAATTTGGAAGTCAAAGATTTTTTGAGATAGGGCCAGGATGTAAGGAATGGATCTGTATTGGTGAATCATGGTGGGAAATTGAGAGCAGTTTGTGGGAGACTGGTAAATGTGAGATTTGGATTGATTTTTATTAGGTTTGTTATTATGTGATCAGGAAAGTCAGATTTCAGGAACTTGTGTAGTTTCTTTAGGTTATTGTCGTGGAATTGTGGGTCATATAATGTTAGACTGCGGTGTATCAGGTTTTTTGCTACACTGATTTTTTGGTGGTAAGGCTGTTGGGAAAAATAGTAGACAATAACCTAACGACACAAGTTGCTGAAATCTGGCTTTCCTGATCACATAGATAGATAGATAGATAGAAAACAAAAATTTATTCTGGGACTAAGTCCCTTTAGAATAACAATATTGTACAAAAGAATAGAATATTAATGGCCTAAAAGTTTGAAACAAAAAATAAAATTGATAAAATAAAATAAAAAGTAAAGAAAACATTAAGTGCACAAACTATATACAATACAGATAAAACTATGTACAGAACATTTAAAACTATGAACAAAACAACTAGAACTATGAACGAATCACTTGAAATATGAAAAAAACTATATATAATGGTTAAACAACATAAACATACACTTTGAGAAATGAAGAACGAAAAAGAGATAGAATGAGTTCATTTCATAAAAAAAAACTTTATTTGAATATATATATATATATATATATATATATATATATATATATATATATATATATATATATATATATATATATATATATATATATAAATAAACAGTTAATTATAATTGAATAAAAAAAAAATGTATGTATTGTAATTCCTATGTCGATAGTAGAAAATGCATGTACTATCTCTTACCAAGTATTATGATTATATGATTGCTACACATACATATATAGTATTTAGCTGTAATAGTTAGCTGGTATCTAACTGTTTTTGGAACAGGAATTGGAATAGGAGGTTTTTGAATGTGTATAGGGAAGGAGCATGTCGAATTTTGATCGGGAGGGAATTCCAAAAGTTGACAGAGCGGGCTATAAAGGAGTTTTGGAATAAGGCAGATCTATGAGAAGGGATGTATAGGTCAGAGGGTCGGGATCTTGTAGTGAGGGAATGGATTGAGGACTTAAATTGGAGAAGGTTGTAGGCATAAGAAGGACGATGATCGGTAATCATTTGATAAAGGAAAGTGCCTAGGAAATATTGTCTTCTTAAGGAGGGGAAGAGCCACCCTAACTCAGTGTAGTGGTGGGAGACACGGGAGCGTCTCGGGGTTCTAATTACAGATGATAACAAACCTAATTAAAAATCAATCCATACCTCACCTTCACCAGTCTCCCACAAACTGCTCTCAATCTCCCATCATGATTCACCTGTACAGATCCATTCCATACATCCTGGTCCTATCTCAAAAAATCGTTAACTTCCAAATTCCCTCATCTACGCATAGTTTTCAAAAATAACAGTAAATTAAGAAATCTATAAATCAAACTCAAAGATCCTGTTTCGCTCCTACAACAACCTAATATAGTATACCGTGTCACATGCTCAAGCCCAAACTGCAACTCTTCTTATATAGGAGAAACAAAAAATTATCTAAAAAAAAAACCAATATACCAACACAAATACAGCATCTCCACACACAACCCGCTTGCCTCAGAACTTGCCAAACACGCCATAACCCTTAACCACACATTCGATTTCGACAACCCAACCATAGAACCACCAACTTGCCACAGTTCCCAACCACCAAAGACGACTAGTTTAGGAAGCTATATTCATTAATTTGGAAAAAAATAATCCAGTAAACCATAAAGTAGACAAAGAAAAGATCTGCAATATATATTCGAACATTTTCAGCCTCCTCAAACAATAATATATAATAATTTAAAAAATTGTTTTTCATTTTCCCCATTTCCTTATCAACATATTGATGTAACTATTCACATTAAAAATATATACATGCACAGACATATTTATACTTATACTATTAGTTCTATGTAATCCTTAATATAATGGTTTTTTTTTAAGGATCAATATTATTATTCTTAAAATATTTTATAATATATTGTACTACTTACCATTTCAATTCATTACAATTGTCTATATTGTAAATATTATTTGGCTAACTATTGCATAGCTTCACTCAAACTATTTTATGTTTATATTGAAAGTCACCTCTTATTTATTTTTATTTCATTACAAGCCAATAGTCACAATTTTGTAACTATAAGATTTACAGATGCGAAACATATAAGCTTACTTTAAGAGATGAATGACACCTCAGGGATTTTGAAAATAAAGTACTGTGTAAAATATTTGAACTAAAGAAGAATGAGTCAACTAAATAATATAGATGGCTACAATATGCCGAATAGAATGAACTTTTTTGTTTCCTTTACCCCTGCCTGGTCAATTTTGGCATGGGAGGAGGGGCGTGATTCTAGAAGTACGACCAAACCTATTGTAACCAGAGAGAGAAGGTTGAGATTCATTCTGTGGGTCCTCAATGAAATAAATTTCCATCTGCTTAGGCCAGATTCAAACCAATGATGCTGAATTTGAGAATCGTAAAGCTAAAAGCACCTTAACATGCACAGCCTCAAAATTGTGTACACTGTACCTTGTTAATACAATTGAGACAATAGCTTTGCAACTAATAAAATGGGCATGTAAAATTGCTTGGCTTTGTTGTGAATGTTTTCCTAAAAGATTAATATATATATATGCTGTGCAAAGGTGCGAGGGTTATGTTAAGGCAGATCTTACAAGATTGATTTTGGGCTCCAGTCGGTGAATGGAAGTATATAGACAATGAGTAATGCTACAATGTTTGAGTTCGTTAAGCTTAGTATTATTATTAACTTTAAAAACAAATTTAAGAAATAAATTAATTAGTATGGACTTAAAGATTGTTAATCGAGGAAGTTTTTCTAAAAGTTAGGTATCTGTAGTATTGTTGGATGATGATTAAATAAACTCACCAATAATTTATGATATTTTAAGAAAGCAGCTTAGCTTAGTTTAGCCACTCAAAAGTCCACTTTAAATGGTTTTAACAATAACATACTCTATTTATATTTAAAGTAAATTTTGTCTAACTTAGTATGACGCAATTGGTAATTACTTAAATTTAGTATTTTTTTTTAGTCATCGCTTCCTATTCAACAAAAAACGTGACTAGCCCAAAAAAGCACAAAACTTTAATTTCCTACTTTTCTGCTGAAAATTGGGCCATTGTTTACATGAACTTTTTTTAGCTCTTGATATTTATTATCATCCTCTTAAAAATTTCCCTCTATTTACCACACACCCTGTATTGTATTAAATTTGACCACATCCTTGACCAGCTTCTTCTCAAAATATCTTACTATTCCATTTAGAATGATCCTCAGTGGCCAACTTGAGGACTAAGTAATTGAAAAATCTACCTAATATTGTAATGATTTCAGATTTTTAGATAATTTAATTCAAAAAAGAAGACAAAAGGCTGACTCCTCTGGAGCATTAGGTAATATACCTACAGATGATTATAATATGATTCCCTCTATCATTATTGGTCGTGGAAAACCAATTGATAGTTCTTCTCATGTTATTCCAACTCTGGGTGGTACCAATAATGTACTCCAGCACAACAATGTGGATATTTCCCAATTTTTTACATCTGTGGAAGAATTCATACCAGATGGAGGGTCTCTGGATAAATCTTTTTTGGAAGAGTCAGTTTCTAGCCCAAAAATACAGTTTTCCACTGAACCAAAGGTTGAAAGTGACAGGTATAATTTAATTATATGACATTAAATTATTATAATCAATTAAATTTTCTTATCTGTTGGTTCATAAAAATTAATAAGAGTATTATTTACTTGTACTATTAGAGTTTAACATAAGTATCATTTTTAATACAAAGATTTTATTTTATTATTAACGATTTTTTAAAACTCCCCCTCGAAGACTTGGGGCTTCCATGCCTTCCTCCACATCCTGCAACCATTTCTTCCGTGGTCGTCCTCTTTTTCACCGTTCTATTAGAATTTAACATAAGTATGGTTTTTAATACAAAAATTTTATTTTATTATTAACAATTATTTTACAACTTAGTTGTTTATCATATCCTACAGATTTTGCCACTTTTTTCAGTCTAGCCAGTCTCCCCCTCGAAGACTTGGGGCTTCCATGCCTTCCTCCACATCCTGCAACCATTTCTTCCGTGGTCGTCCTCTTTTTCACCGTTCTATTAGAATTTAACATAAGTATGGTTTTTAATACAAAGATTTTATTTTATTATTAACATTTTTTTTTACAACTTAGTTGTTTATCGTATCCTACAGATTTTGCCACTTTTTTCAGTCTAGTCAGTCTCCCTCTCGAAGTCTTGTGGGCAGCCATGCCTTCCTCCACATCCTGCAACCATTTCTTCCTTGGTCGTCCTCTTTTTCGCCTTTCTATCTGTTGATAGAGAAAGGCTAATTTTGGCCATCGGTCCTCCATCATTCTCTGTAAATGGCCATACCATTTCAGTCTTTTTGTTTCTATGTCGTAGAGCATAGATGTTTCCTGCTGAACATTTTGTCTAACATTTTTGTTGGGAACATGCTGTAGTCTGGAAGTGGCACAACAGTGTCTCCAAAAGTCCATCTCCAATGATTGTAGCCTTATCTCCTCCTTTTTGGTGATCACCCACGTTTCAGATGCATATAGAGTGACGCCTTCCAAAACGGAATGATATAGCCTTTTTTTTTTTGTTTGGAGACTTACCTGTTTGTTCCATAACACAGAATTTAGTGTCCCAATTATCTGCCTTCCTCTAGTGATTTTTTCCCATGATATTCTTGGAGGAGCTTCCATCCTCAATTATCCATCTACCAAGATATTTGAATTCATGGATTTTTCCTAATTCCCAATTTTCTAGTGATAAGGTTCTTATATTCCTGTTCAATGCCCTATACTTTATTTTTTCGTTATTCACTTCCAAACCCCATGCTCTATACTCCTCCAAGAGCTTCCTTAGTATGCAGCTGGCATCTTCATCATCATTCTCTATTACTATCTAGTCATCGGCAAATTTTAGTGTATAAAGTCATTTTTCTTCTATCTTTATTCCCATCCCCATGCATTTTTCTTCCATTATTTTAGTAATTTGCTCTTCAAATTATAGGTTGAACAGCAGTGGAGATAGGGAAAATCCTTGTTTGAGGCATTTAGTGATTGGGAAGTGGTTTGCTAGGCAATTTCTGATTTTTTACCCTCGATTTAGCACCATTATACAAACTTTTGATGATTTTTATTAAATAATATCCTACCCCTATGTTCTGTAAGGATTCCCACAGTCTGCACAATGGAACTGTAAATGTGGATCTCTCATACACTTTTTGAAGATCTATGGAAATCATGTGTACCTCACTATTACAGGCATTTTTCTTTTCAATTTTACATTCTTGCTGGCTTTTTTTATAACTGGAAAACATTCAGATCCCTATTCGAGAGCCATGTAAAATAAATATTTTTCTTCTCATCCGCTGTCCTTGCCATTTCTTCATTCCACCAATAATTTCTCCTTGGGGATGCTCTTATTTCCCCTAATAATTCTGCAGCAGCCTCATGTACAGCTTCTTTTATTTGATGATATTTTTCTCCTGATTTCTGAGTGGTTTTTAGATTTATCTTATATGTATTGTGTATTTCCTTATGTTTGTAGAATCTATTTAGGATTTTCATATTCAGTTCTTTAAAAACATTTGTCAGCCGTCGACCACTGTCATTTATAATTACTTCTCTGTGCCTTCCCACAGTTTTGTCATCTATAATTTATTAACTACTCTTGCATTTAAATCTCCCAACCAAAGCTAAACTTTCCGATCAGCTATACCTTCTGTTAATTCCCATAGATCATCATAAAATTTATTTATTTTTTTTTATTTTTAGTATCATCAGTTGAAGCATAGATATCTTAACAAGACTACAGGGTGCCCAACATTGTTGTCTCAAACTTAATAAATCTTTCTCTAATACACTCGAAATCTATCACATTTCGTTGCCATTTTATCCGCCCCCTTTGTTCTTTCCTGCTTTTCAACCCAACTAAATTTCCATGTGTTTCAGTTCCATGTCCCTTCAGTTTTGTTTCAGTTAGTACAACCACATCCATCTTTAAGACATTCAGCTCTTCCTCTACTTCATTTTTTTTGTTTAAACCAAAAATATTCCAAGTTCAAAAAAAAAAAAATTGTATTGTCAATTTCCATTGTCATTTATTCAGTTTAACTTCTGAGGCTATTCTATTGAAATTTTAGTTTATATTGAAAGATTTTATAATTCATTCATGTGCAGCCTTCCATTTTCACATAAAGATGTTATTATTTCCAAATTGGAAGAATTTGGAGTTCATTTCACTGTGTCAAACCTTAAAATAAAATATGTAATATAATCAATAGCTTTGTTAACATATTTTAAATATACCAATATCCCATAGGAAAAAAAAACAGAAATATTGGATGGAATTATTTCATTTACCAAAAGAATTTTTTTTCCGGTTTTCATTTGGCAAAGTGACTAACACCATAAAATTACAGTCTTTATGTTTTTTTAATATTGATTTCATAACCATTCAGCATTGGATACATGGTTAAGAGCAGAATTTATATTTTAATAAGCTGTTATAATTTAATATTACTCCCATACTTTTGTAAAAGAAAAAGATAAAAAATTTTCTAAAGAGAAATATTTTTAAAAGTGCTTTCCTGAAAAATGTTGAAATCATTTTGTCAACTGAAATGTTCATATAAAAATTCTAATTACCATGTATTTCCCGCCTAATAAATCAGTCAAATTAATACATTTGCATCACTTTCCATTTCTTTTTATTATGGCTGTAGTATCAAACAATACTAATGATTGTGGGGCAAATGTAGGACATTTTGAAAAAATCAGCATTTAAGCACAGTCAGATTGCTTCGATGAGGATTAAGTCTACCTCAAGCAATATCAATAGAGCCGTTTTTGAGAAAATGTTAAAAATTTGTTACATCTCCGTGTTATGTCTCCAGAGTACTATTTGCTGCATTCCGTTATGGTTTAAACCACCATTACTCGGTACCGCCTCTGTTAGCATTATCCTGGGAGCACCACACAGAGGTAAAAGTGGGATTTTACCCCCTCAATTGAACTTTCAAAGATAAGATAATTAAAATACTTTAAAATAAATTTAATGTGTTGTTTACGAACAGAGTCCGGATTTTTATGCAGTAAAAATTTCATGGTATTCAATAAAATATACAGTAAAAAACCTAAAAATGAATGAAAAATTCCTAAATGTGCCATTTAGATATGCTAATCTTCCTACACCAAGAAACTAAAAAAGGAATTAGAAGAAGGATTAAAAATCAAACAAGAATTATTTCTTCTTTTTTTTTTGTATTTTCTTTCTTTATAAGCTGAAATAATTAAAAGAGAATGTGAAAATGAAAAAAGAAGAAATAAAATTTCACAAATGTTTAAAACCATAATATCAAATACTTTTTAAAAACTAACTCTAAATTAAACTAATTGAGAATAAAAAAATAATATAAAATAGCTGAAAGACAAGAAATTAACACATAAGAAACTAAATGTATTAAAAATATGCAATGTAGATAGATATATTTTGTTTTTCTATTAGTGATACTGAAACTGGTGAAAATCCATTAGTGGCTGGTTATGAAGATGATATCGAGTCAGAAGAAAATATACTAAAGTCTAATGATTCTGGACATGCCTTTGAGAATTCTCCACCATGTGTGAGGTCAAGTGCATGGGTTTGTATCACTTCTTTTTAGATAATTTTATTACCTAATTGGCATTCTGAAATCAAAGCTTTATAATTGATTCAGGGTGTCTACCGGACATGGAATTCTTTGAAAAGTCAGAGATTGTTTTGATAAAACACCAAAAGTCTGAGCATTTTATAATTAAGGGGGATGCAAGTACGAATTAGTTGGTATGCATAATAATGATATGTAATTTACACAAATATTCATATGTCACGTGAAACATGTATGCTCTTTGATTTTTCATGATAACCAATTTTATAAAATAAACAACATGACATCCAATCACATACTCTATATGTTAGGAAGGATGTAATGTCTCTTGTTAGTGTATATTTTATTGTATTGTTGATTAGAGATATGTTCCATTTAGTTTGTGTACATGTAATTTAGGGTGTTTTCTGCCCTGATGATGCTTCAATTGACAAATCATTGACAGGTTACTTTGTTTTTACCTGAATTTTAGAGAAACAAAGCTGTGGTTGGATTTTTCCAATTATAATCTAACATTTAATTTATGCTTCTTTTTGAGTTTTTGATTTAATGTATCATTAAAAATTATAATTTTAATTTTACGTAATTATTTTAAATATAATTTTTTTTTTTTTATGAGGCCTTCAGTATTGTAGCCTAAAATATTGTTCTAATTATGCAAAATGATTATTAATAAATATCATTTAATACAATTTTAGTCAAGACCCAAACAGTTTTCTTTTACCTCACTGAATGGCAAATAGAATAAATTATATCATATAACTTAATTTTTTTGTTGTTTATTGTCTTATATGTTAGAAAATGATAAAATAATTAAATTTTATAAATTCATATAAATACATCATACATACCATGTCCAATTACAACTATTTTGATAACCCGAATTTTTTTTCGAAAATGATTTTAAAAAGTCAGGGAATTCCTAAAAAAAAGTTTTTGGTAGACGCCCTGTTTATTATATAAACTAGAGCATCAATCATATGGAATATTATCAATGACCCTTACTAATCAATAATAATGGTTCAGATATTAACATATTGCAGTAAAATTTGATCTAGAAACAAATAAAAACACAGAATATAAATAAAATATTGTAATTTAAATGTTTATCCATAATCAACTTTACATTTGGATGTAATTATATTTGAAAACAAAATAAAAAAGAATAGTGTAATCCATTAGTATTTTATTTCGTAATTGTACTGGGTTATTATATCTCTAAATGGTGGAAGCTGTAAAAGGAGGTGTAACTTAAAGAAAAAATATTATTTTTTAAAAAGTAAATGAGTATCCATTTTCAGTTTTTTTAATTTTTTCAATCTTCTTTCAGCTGCCTCATTTCTCAAACTCAAGAGGAGCATTCTTTTTTTGTGACCGTTGGATTGCTGTTTCGAATTTTGAAATTCCAAAAATCTAAAATTTCGAGTTCTGTTTCTACGTGATTGTCAATCTCACTATCTCAAGGTCCTAGCATTATAATTTTCATCTGATTCTTAGATTTTTTTACCGGTTTGGTGTTCTTTTATGTAACAGTCGTTTGAGTGAGTTGATATGAGTGTTTTTGTGAAAATGGACAAAATCGAGTATCGAGCTGCCATTAAATATTTGTTTTTGAAAGGCAATATATTTTTTGAAAGGCAAACCGTCTCACACCTCAGTGGTTGCCATCGCAAAAATCCACAAATTACGGTGTGAACTGCTTGACCATCCGTCTTACTCACCAAATCTAACCCCAAACGACTTCTTTTTGTTCCCTTATCTAAAAATTGCGCTCGGAGGACAGAGATTTTTGCCAAATGAAGAGGCAATCACCTTTGCGAACAATTATTTTGCAGATAAAGACGCCGAGTACTATTTGGACGGATTATAGAGATGGGAGAAGTGCATAGAGTAGCAAGGAGAGTATGTTGAAAAATAAAAAAAAATTTCTTGTATTTTTGTCAGGTCGAAAACTTTTCAGACCACCCTCGTATGGCAGACTTTTTATTTGTAGATTTAATTAATTTTAAAAATTCATCCTAGTATTTTTACTTTCACTTACCTATATATAATATATAGTAATAGCACAGGAGCCAGAGCCAAAAAATAGACCTTATCGCAGAAGAAGGTTTGAATATAAATTGTGAAAGTGTATAACATTTTAACTAAAATAAGCTTTGTCTGCCATTCCAAAGCCGCTGCTTTCAAAAATGGCAGCCATGCAAAGGGGTCCTAATTTGCCAAAAATAGCCCTCATCGCAGGCTAAATGAAACTTTGATAGATGAATCTTTCTACCGAAAGGTGTAGTTTTTCAGCTGTCTGCCATTTCTGTGCCGCTGCTATCATATGGCAGACTTAATTTACAAAATTACAACTTTGGAGTAATAAAGTTATCAACTTTATTATCCTTGGAATTATAACTACTATGAATGTGTGTGATAAAAAGAATAAATAACTTTGTCTGCCTCTTTTAGGCCGTGGCAATCTACTGGCAGACTCTAATTAAAAAATTGTAATTTTAGGTGTCAAAATTTACCCTTGTTAGGGTACTTCAAATTTTACTTCATGAAAATATTCGGTTTAAGAGAAGGGAATAACATTGTCTGCTACTGTTAGGCCGTAGATATCCACTGGCTGACTCACATTCAAAAATTGCAATTTTAGAAGTAGAAATTCACCAGTTTCAGGTGGCTTGAAATTTTTAAAGTGAGAAAGTATTTGGTTTATAATAAAGAAATAGAATTGTCTGCCTATGCTAGGCCACGGAAATCCACAGACAGACTCAAATTAAAAAATTGTAATTGCCTGTGTAAAAATTCACCAATTTTAGGAGGCTTGAAATTTAAAAATAAGAAAGTATTCGGTTTATAATAAAGAAATAACGCTGTCTGGCAATGTTAGGCCGCGGAAATCCACTGGTAGACTTAAATTCAAAAATATCAATTTTAGAAGTAAAAGTTCACTAGTTTTGGGTGGCTTGGAATTTTGCTATATGATACTTCTATATTTCTTGTTAATTAAAAATGCAGTCTGCCATTGATAGGCTGTTGCTTTATACTGGCTGAGTGATATAAAAACTGCAATGAACGTGACTATGCCGTCTCCTATTAGCCCAAGAGCCTTGCCGAACTCTGGAATGGCGGCCTTCCTAAAATCAAGGGCAGTCACTAAATACGCTAAAATATGTTATTTGAAAATGTTTATTTAACAACTTCCAAAAACACAATTTAAAATTAAAAATCTTTACTTCATTGAAGACATTTTTTTATTTTCTTATAATGAACTAGATTGGGATAAATCAATTGTGGATATATATTTATCTTAGTTCAACAGGTAAAGTTATTTACCTTGTTGACACAAAGTTATTGTCAGCATATGCTACCATCAAATGATTTTAATTTGAACTAATTGAGTTAGCCTGTCAAATAACAATAAATACGCGAGACAAACTTTTTTTCAAAATTAACGAATCAGGAGAACTGATATCTTGGAAACTCTACAAGATACCAAACAAATCAATATAAGCACTCCTGTTTTTCTAAATTTTTAAGCTTTAATTTTATATAGAACGTCTTCATTTGTTTCTCCGTACCATTAAGCGAGGGTTGTAATGCCGGATACAAATATATATATTTAATACTAGAAAATTGAAAAAGAAATCAATGATCTCAGTCGAAGTGATATTTTATTATAAAAATGTTATATTTGGATTTTAAAATATGTATGAAATATAAAAAAACATACTGGTTTTAGTTAAGAAATGTTAAACAGTCTTCTAGACTTTTGTCCCCCTAGATTTGTAATTGGCCACACTGTGCGTCATTTGGGATTTTTAATACTTTTTTAGGCAAATATTCCAATTAAAAGTTATTTGAAATAAAAGCAGATCTTACTTTAACCCTCGCATTAATAACAGATGTCACTCACTTATATTGTCGGTGATAAATATATAACCACAATTGATTTATTACATACAATCTAGTTCATCTGACCAACTCCTTCTCATATTATAATCACGTTCAAACATCTTCATACCACTATAAATATTTATTGAGTCACCGATATTTAAAAAAATATAGAATAATTATAAAACAACAAGTTATTGTACAGTAACAGTAGTGTTACCTCCTACTACTGACTGTCCTTTGATTGGAGTGGAGAAAAGAATGTTTTCGATAAAAAAACATTTTTTAGCTTTTGGCCTACCTCTTAAATATTCAGGAAATAGTTTGAACCAAGAAATTTCATTTCACTATATTTCATTTAGGTAGAAGTGGTAGAAGTATAATAATAACTAGAATAATAATTTTAGAAGTATAATAAGGAAAAATAATTATAACATTTTTAATATTCACCTCTTCTTCGGTGCATACTATTTATTTTCACGTTTATTTATTATCAGCCAATTTTACACCAATTTTTAATTTTGTCAATTTAATGACTACATATCACAATTACGACGTTTCGGCTCATCGAGCCATTTTCAAGTCTAAATACCCATCATGTACCTGTCCTTTTCACTTATGCGAATTGCATGCGTCTACTCATAATAAAAGTTTTTGTTCTCGTCATGTCCACCTAATCATGTGTCACCCACGTGTCATCAGTCTCATTTCTATTCAGTGACAGTCAAAATTGGTTTAAAATTTGCTGATAATAAATATACTTGAATATAACATTTTTTATCAGTTATATAAGTTGTAGAGAATGTTAAGGGGAGTTTTGGTAATAAAGAAAAGAGAGGGGAGGGAGAGGGAGAGAGTTTTCCCCCTTAACCCTCTCTTACTTATCTCTTAATTTAACATATAGTCCAGTCAATGAATAGCAAAAAGGTGCTTGTAGAGTGCATGGTGGATGGACGGGAAAATGATTTTGGGAATTTGTTTGGCATACTTAGGAGATAATCATACTAAAAGTCCCCGCCCTTACCTCTTCCGCTTCATAGTGGAGGGTGCCATAAATGTCAACTTTTCCAGATTTGCTCATATATCTTGAAAATGAGACATCAGAGACAAAACGTTGTATGAAGAATTAAAGCTGATAAAATTTCTTTCAAGAAAGGTTATATTTATTTATTTTTTATCTGTAACACATTTCAAGATATTCACTGAATTAAATTGACAATTTTCGAAAAATTTATTTTTGCCTCACATTTTTTGTCAAACCCATCTTTCTAAGACCACAGCGTTTCGATTTACAAGAAAATGGTCTAAAAGAAAATTGTAAAAATATAGTTTTTTCTTTGAATGCATTTATCCTCAACTAATTAATCTGTTATGAATCAAAAGTTATTGTAACTTTAAATATTCTTCCAAATTTCGTCAATGTTTAATTAGACTAAAACGTTTTGAAAAAAAATTGGAGGAAAGACGTTTGTGGATAATTGTGTCACATCTACTTGATCAAAATATTACTATTATCCTTAACATTACAGGTTAATATTACCATTACCCTTACATTATAGGTAATCAAACATTATAGGTTAATATTGAAATTATAAGAAAGAAATAGAAAGTGTTGGGGTCTTGGAAATGACAATTTGAAAATTGATTTCACTAAATAAATTTAAAACCAGAGGGAAAAGTTATTAGGCAACAAACACATAAAAGTTTCCATATTTTTATAAACTATAGATACCAAAATACATTAACTAATTAAAGTACAAATTTTGTATACCAGCCTGTTTTGGAACAAGAAAGTTCAGCTTTGGGCTCTGATTCCTAGAATGGTGTTAATAACAACTCGTCTTTATCCGCGATACAGGAATTTTTTATCTGCAGTAGATATCTGGACGGGGTCCAAGTCTTCTTTTTTGTCATTTGTATATTTATATTAGAAACTCAGTTCATACAGTTCCCATCCTTGCAGTTCTGACTTTACAAGGGTCAATTATAATCGTATTTTGTTGCAGTGGCATTGGCACTTCTGCAATTTGTATAATATATAATCCATATTCCTTTGGCTGTGATAGATTCATTGGTCAGCCGAATTAAATAATTCTACTTACCCTTCCAACCCCACGATTTCAGAGGTAGTAGGTTCCCCAACCAGAGCTGCACCTGAGGGATCATGCAGAACAAATGTTTGTTCCTTGCTCCCTCGCTTGTTGAAAATGGTGAGAGATCTGGTTTGAGACTTATATATTTTCATACAGGGCACTATATGAACTGAGTCGCTAATACAATGAATACAGATGACGAAAATGAATACTTGGACCCCTTCCAGGTATCTACAGTGGATACTGAATCCTGTATTGCGTATGAAAACAAATTGTTATTATCATCATTCTAGGAATTGGAGCCCAAAGCTGAACTCTCTCATTCCGAAACAGGCAGGTCTACAAAATTTATACTTTAACACTTTAATTAGTTAATGTCCTTCGTCGTAAACCAACGACTGTCTGTCCTACAGTTTCCTTTAACAATACTCCACTTATCCCTGTTGAGCAAATCCGATACCTAGGACTCCACCTGGACAAACGACTAACTTGGAATCCTCATACTAGACTGAAACGACAAGAAACTGCTCGACGTTTCCGATTACTTCAGCACTTACTAGACAAACGCTCTAAACTTCCCATTAATTACAAAAGACTCATATACTTGACTATAAAAAGACCTATTTGGACTTACGGAGTTGAGTTATGGGGCTCCACTAAACCATCGAATTCCTCTCGCATCCAATCCTTACAATCCAAAATCCTTCGTAAAATCCTCAATGCTCCTTACTTTGTCACTAATAAAATTATCCATAAAGACCTTAATGTTCCTTATGTTTCAGATCTGGCCCAATCCAGATACCTATCCTTCCATAATAAACTTCAGAATCATCCCAACCCTCTCGTTTCTAACCTTGCTTCCTCTTCTATTCCTGATAACCCTCCGAGGTGTCTGAAAAGAAGATGGCCCCGTGATCTCCTAATGTAGTCATATCATTAGAGTGCTACCATTGGGTAGTTACTCAGCAAGGGTATTCATGTCATTATATCTATTATGTCCAAATTTACACGCTCAACCACTAGGTCTCTCCCCTTAATTAATTATTTAATTAAGGGTACTCACTTTGTAGAGGCTGGGTGTACCCCAGGAGGCTCTCCCTAACCCAGGGTCGCCCCACTGCCAATGAAACAGAATAAATAATTTTTCTGCCATAAGTCGGGATTCGAACGTGGGACCTCGAGCAATGGAAGTTAAGTGCCCTTCCACTGAACTACCCTGCTCCGCAGTCTTTTTATTGTGAAGATAATTCTATTTAAATTATAGAAAATATTTGTCATTCTATTAATATTGAATGAAATGGAATGTAAGAAAAGATTAATATATTATTTTATACTCGATTTATTATTTTAGTTTGAAATCTTCTGTTTAAAAATGATTAAATCTAACATAATTATTTTTTACTTAGGTCAAATTAGAAGAATCATCTGATAAACTAGAAGATTGGTTAGGAAATTTAAGCATTATTGATCGAGGAAGCCCTGAAGGAGGTGAGGATAATTGTAGACCTGATTCTCCTAAATTGAAAGTGAGTATTTTATGTCTTAATATAATAACTTCAATAATGTTGGCAAGAGTATCTTCCATATGTTCTCAATATGAAGTGAATTATGACTAAATAGAACTGGAAAGAGTTTTCATGTTTACTCAAGAAGGATATTAATCTTATTACTGTGAAATGAATTAATAAAAAATTATGTTGAGTTATTGAACAGGTATTAGCTAGGATGAGGGGTTTTGGGCCATTGCTACTACTAAGAGAATTTTTTTTCTGTTTATAATCTGAATTAATAACTAAATTACTGTCAATAACAACCAGGCCCGAGATGTGTTCCCCTTACAGATGTATTTTACTTGTGGGAGCACAGATAGCCTGGAAGGGGTCACCCAACCTCACATTGCTACGAACCATGGTACAGCGGCAGGCCACCAGTAGCTCCATAGCCGGCCTCTTCGGGACCAATCTGACAGTGTCCTTCCCACCAACTCACTCGGGTTTAAGGACAGTGACAGATCGGTCTAGATACATGGATTATAGCTGCTTAGAGTCAACAGGCATCCAAGGACCTATATTTCTTTCGCTAAAACAGACCGTCCATGGACCAAACCTCAGGGAGGCTACTAACATCATAGTAGACCACATCCTGATTCCTGATTTAAGTACATGAGGTAGGGTCGTCCGTCGTATGCCCGGTCGTTGTGAGTTGCCTCCAGGAAGAGGGTAGAGAAATCTCGGGCAATGTGGCTTCGCTTGGTGGATGTTCACGGATGACCTCTGGAATTCTTGATACCCTATAATCCAAGTCATCACCTCCAGCTGGCATCGCCTTTTCTCATTCTTCATCAACATTTCGCCATGTAGTACACACCGGAGAACTCCAATTTTCTCCTCATGTTACATCACCTTTATCAAAGCCGTGGGAACATCCTGGTTTTTCTTCCAGGACAAATGATATGGCATTGTAGTCAGAAGTCGTCTCAGATTTGAGGATTCAATCAACGATGTACCTTGAAAAAGCCGGTGAGATCATGGTCACATCAATGCAACTCTGCCCCATATTTCCAGAGAACATAGAAGTAGTAGAGGGATCATTAATAATAACTAGCTGATTTCTCACTATGAACTCTTCTATCTTCGGTCCTCTCGTGTTGGTATAATTGGATCTCCAAATCGTGTTCGAGGAATTGGTGTCTGAGCAAACTATGATATTTCTTCTATCTCTTACAATATCTTCCATGGTAGATATGCGGTCATCAATGTTACCTCTGTCAGATAGCTAAGCTGATATTAGTGTGAAGACAAGGTTTCCCCACCTAATATTGCACATAGCAGAGTCTGCCATGGTGTGTTGGCTCGGCTCCATCACGTCGAGGTTAGGGTTATTAACCACAACGGTCCTCTCTCCACTGCTCAGGGCTATTAATCTCGACGTGGTAACAAATCCTTTGACCACGTTCCCACGGCAGCATGGTTCTTGGATCCTCATGATATCATACCGTTGAACCATAGCTTTAAGCTCTTCTGTGACAATATGCCTGTGGCCCATGTTCAGTTGTAGAATGGTTATCTTACTCATGTTGGGTTCTTTTGGCTACTTCTTTTAATCTCATGATATGAACAAGGCATTCCTTACTGCCTGCTTGATATCTAGCTTGGCGTTTTAGAAAGCCCCTAGCTCGCTCGCAGAAAGCAGAGCACCCTCTACAGACTAGGCCATCGGCAGTGCAGGTGGCTTTGGTATGCCCATACCCTTGACATTTCAGGCAACTGGGAGTATCCAAGTAATCCATGAAGAACAATGTCCACCATCTTCCGGCTATCGTTTTGTTCTTCTCTCAATTTAAATCGGATCTTTGGGTGCACTTCCAACACCCAATTTTTCACTTAAATTTTTTAAGTTTGCTATTTTAATTCACCTAGCAGTGATTTCTATTACCATTAACACATAGAATCTGATATGATATTCCCTTCGGCAGCGATATGATGATATTGTGATTGGATTGGCGCTAGCAATATTGCTGATCTAATCAGTCGCTATAGCAGTGATTGCTATTACCATTAAAACTACTTTAAGGCTTCTACACATAGAATCCGATATGATATTCCCTTCGGCAGCGATATGACGATATTGCGATTGGATTGGCGATAGTGATATTGCTGATCTAATCAGTCGCTATAGCAGTGATTGCTATTACCATTAAAAACTACTTTAAGGCTTCTACACATAGGATCCGATATGATATTCCCTTCAGCAGCCATATGACGATATTGCGATTGGATTGGCGATAGCAATATTGCTGATCTAATCAGTCGCTATAGCAGTGATTGCTAATACCTTTAAAAACTACTTTAAGGCTTCTACACATAGAATCCGATATGATATTCCCTTCGGTAGAGATATGGTGATATAGTTGTATTACTTTCTATTGCATTACAGCAGGCACACATAGTGCGATAATCCACCACGATACAGACAAAGGAACATCGTTACAACCGATGTTGTATATTCACTGTAATTCAAAGATGGAAAATTTTAATTTAAGCTGCAGCTTTGATTATTATGAACCTCTGTGTGCCCATAGTGTTTTACTTAATATTTATTACTTTCCCCCCTTAATTTATTGGCACATAAATTATTTTAAACTAAATCATTATTATTTACCACCTTTATTCCACTCATTAATTATTAATAATAAAAATTAACATTGAAAATCAATAACCTTGGCGGACACAATGAATGCCAAGAGTTCAAAGCAGGCTGTGATGCCACTGGGGGTTTATGTTAGGTTTTTTTATTCAGTTCTGAACTCTGTATCAACCAGAAATTCAGTTTGGAGTGATCCGACAGTCGATAAGTAGTATTGTTTCAAAAACTCAATTTTACCGATTGTTCAGGAAAAGTTGAGTTGCCTTCTCGTTTTTAACAGTTAGTATTGGCAAATATTAACTGTTAAAATTTATATTATTTAAATTTTACTTTTATAATATCTTTAGTTGATGCCTCTATTGGAATAAAACATAATTACTTTTTTCTCTTCCCAATATTTGAACAGCACCACTAAAAAAATTGTGTATCACTAGGATTTCTCCTTGTTTCATTGATATGCATTATTTTATTTTATTACCATAAGTTCTAATTAAACTTTATAAATATGTATTAAGAAACATTAATCAATTAAATCATCAAAATAATTATTATTAAATCGTTTCATGTATTGTGCAGGTTGGAAAAAAAAAACATTCAAAAAAGAAGTCAAACAAAAATAGTTGTAAAGAAGATACAAAAACAGAGAAAAAAAGGAAGAAGAAGTCTTCAAAAGTATCACAAGAATGTTACGATGAAATGTGCATTCCTCATGACTCTATGTATGAGGAAATTTAAACACTGCTACATCAGTGTTAGCTAATGACTGATTTTATTTTTTTTTTGTATAAGTTTAATTAAAGTTTTGTTACTGATTAGTGGTTTCATTTTACCCTTTGATTCTTTTACAATTATTTGAGAACTAGTTGCTTACATTTCACATTTATTACTTTCTCCTACTAATATATGTAATATTTCGATCATGAAAAATTTAGAATTTGAGTTTTCAATAGATATATACATTTTGAGAATCCCTGAGTAAAAAAAATTCGCAACATGGTAATAATCTGTGTGTTTTTTTGTGGGTGAGAGCAAAATCTTTCAAAACGCGCAATTAACGTGTATCATAAAAACTATTTTTTATGCAAATTTTCAGAATTGACGTATAAAGTTATCATTGATATAACTTTTGAACTTTTGGAAAACTAGTAAAATAATATATATTCTTGAAGAAAATTTAATTATTAAAATCTTTCTTCCTCATGATTTAATCGTAGAAGCAATCAAGAGTTAGCTAGTCAAATACAGTAAAAGACATAAGGTAAAGCTTTTTTATTCCAAATTAGCCATAGTTGAGGACGGATATCTATGAAACTAAGCGAAAAAACGTATATAATCAATCATATTGCAAATTTTATTAGCTTTAATTATGTATAGAACGTCTTTGTCAATGTGATTGATAGTTTTCCTGATATAAGCTAAAAACTGAAATATAGCAATAAACATGAGATCATTTTTTTTGTTTTTCAAAATTTTATTTGAGGTTGGATACTTCGGATACTAAACGAGGTAGCTAAACAAGGTACGAAACTAAATTCATTATAGCAAAAGGTATATAATGAATCAAATTGCAAATTTTATCAGCTTTAATTTTGTATAGGAAGTCTTTGTTGATGTGATAGATAGTTTTCATGTTATAAGCGAAAACCGAAAAAAAGTGAGCTATACGTGAGTGGGGACTGATCATATGTTTTCCTCCTTACTAGTCCAAACAATGTCCTAAAGTCAAAAATTGTGTACCCACCATTTCCTTCTATATTGCATTTTCGAGCATTCATTGACTGGTCTAGAAGGGCTATATAGTAAAATCCATATACGTACTTATTCTCTGGACATCTTATTTAAGCTAAGCCATTGTTCGGTCTCTCCTTTCTCACTCCTGTGCTCTGCTGATTTGCACTGCATAGTCTGCTGCAGCACTCCAGTTCTCCTGCCTAGTCATCATCAAAGCAACTAAGTTTTCCGGAACTGATTGCTTTCCAAATTTTATATCTAGCTCTTCTTTTTCTCAAGCAAAACTTGAACTATAGAAGAACGAATGTTCCACTGTCTCATCCACGGGATCACAAGTTGGGCACGATGATCTATTCTCTAGTTTGAAGATGGCTAAGTAGACTCTGAAGCAACCATGCCCTGTAAGCAGTCTTTTGAGGTAATAGTCTACTTCCCCATGTTAATATATTGGGAATCAGGTAGTGGGTCCATTTTCCAGAACATGAGGCATTCCAGTGTCTCTGATATCTTTCAAGAGTATGCTATCTCTCTTCTTTTGCTAATGTAATCCAGTGGGCTCGTTTTATTTGGAACATCTGGCAGCGTTCATCTGCCAAAAGATCAATTGAAGTCATATCTAGGATGACGCACACAGTATCGTAGGTCGCAGTGCCAAAAGCTCAAGCAACACACAGGGCACTTCTTTGATACACACTGATAGCTTTATGAACATATGACTGCACTTGACAGGTTTCTGCCCTGATCGGTGCTGCATACAAAAGTGTGGAAATCATACATTAGCCAGAAACTTTCTCTTATTTTCCATTGGTTCACCAATATTTGGCATAATTAATTACTTGCGCTACTGCGGTGCTAAATTCGTGCGAATGATCATCAAACCGAAGTCTAACGTCAAGCTGCATCCTAAGACAGGGAGAAATACTTTATTGGAAGTAGTGCTGGCCTACTATATAGGGTTGCTTTTTACACAGCATACTGATCAATACATATGGACATAGCTCTCATATTATTCCATTATTATATAAATATATCATTTTTTTTTTTATCCCTTTTCACAACACTAGTCCATATACCATATCACATTAACAATACCAAATTAAACAATTACCATTATACTATTCATATATTTCATGAAAAAAAAAAGGTATTCGAATGCTAGAAATACAAGACTAAATCATGGAGATATATCAACGCAATTTCTTGAATATAGACAAACAGATAAGACAAAGTTAAAAAATCAAAATTAATTAGATAAATGACAAGAAACATTCCAAATTCACAGTCAATTGTTATACAAGTAATAGTGGATGATCTCTAGAATAATATTCTCGGACAATATCGCAAGCTCCCTAGCATCAACCTCATCGCAGGCTAGATGAAACTTTGATAGATGAATCTTTCTACAATGAAGCGCCTTTTTTAAGCAGTCTGCCGTTTCTGTGCCCGCTGCTTTGCATTGGCAGGCTTAATTTAAAAAATTGCAACTTTAGGGTAATAAATTTACCAAAGTTAGGAGGCTTGAAATTTCGCTATTTGATACTGGTAAATTAGATGTTGAATAAAAATACAGTCTGCCATTAAAATACCGTTGTTTTGTAGTGACATACTAAGCTTGAAGTTAAATAACTTCTAGCCGACTCCCCTTTAGTCACCCATTTAACTTGAATACAGGATGTGAAAATAGTAGATAAAAGGATGATGTCTCATGAATACAGGTGAGCATTACTCAGATTTGAAGTAAAAATTATACAACAAATGGCACTACTACTGGCGAAAAGGAAAAGGAAACAAAACTCTGTATACTTTATTGGAACAATAATGAATTTATTTATTGAGTTCAACACCGCAATGAACGTCTTAAGATAAGTTTGGTCTTAATATCTTTGGCTAAAACTTGTAAGATTTAAAGTAGATCATTAAAATTAGTTTTAACCCATTTATTAAATAAAAAAGAAGTTCCTAAGAAACAAATATATGAAATATTGAAAATTATGAAATGCGAGTGGTACCTGGTGCACTAGGTTTGCTTGACACATTTTTCAATTGACCAGCCATTTCATCTAATGAAAGAGCTTCAAACATCTTAACGAGTTGTAAATATAACATATTTACAGGCAAGACTACAAAGGAAATGGAAAAACCTCTTGAGGAAGCTCTGCCAATAGAAACATTTACTGTGAAAATGTTTTTTGGACATAGAGGGGAGAAGAAAAAAAAAACCATTTTGGTGTGCAACTGGAAAATAATCAGTTTTAGGAAGGCATTCAAACTCCCTTAAGTTCTGTTGTTTTTTTCTTCGAATTATTTGAGATTTTTTTAATGACCCTCCAACTATACTACAGATGCCTCAGTTTTAGAAGCAATATTCTTGTTTAATTACCTTTGAATAATAACTATTAACTTGACCAACATCTTATTTGTTCTTGGCGAAACTTCTTTATTATTTTTGCCAATTCTTCTTTTTTTTCTTTATCTAAACGTTGTAATGTATCATTAATATTGATATTTTCATTACAATTTAAAATTTGTGTATTTTTCTCTTCATCTCTTTCTCTAATAATATGTTCATTTCTGGAGAGAATTTCACCTTCATAGCTCGTGTGTCTTTTCTGGATGCATGATTTCAGTATCATGGAAACATTAACAATTGTATTCGAAAATGTTAAAGTAAATATATAGACAATTAATTACTGGTTTACATATTAGGAACAATATCTGCATTAACATGGTCATTTTCATAACGTATGAATCTTATTTCGGTTTAGCATATTAGGATATAACTCTTTCCGGATTTGTTTAATCAACTAGTAGTCGAATGTATCTGTAGCAGAAGAATGTTTTGTAAGCTTTCCCTGAACAATGGTGTACATTTCTAGGAATCATGGAGATTTGGGTAGTTTCTTATCTGTAGCTAAATGTCGTTTTTATGGAGGTCATAAGCATTAACATGGTCACTTTCATAGCTCGTGTGTTTTGTTTGGATTCATGATTGCGGTATATTATGCTTTCGAAAGTTGCTGGTTTGTGTGTGTTTATTGTTTTTTCAATTATAGTTTGTTTTATCTCTAGGTCGTTTGCATTTAGATAGTAACTTGCAGCATAAGTAACGGATTCAACGGGAATTTATCATAATTATACGATATCTTAAAATCGAACTAATAATCTTTCCAGAAATGAGTTTTTTTTTTTTGTTTTTTTTTTTGTATAATAATGAATTGTTAGTATCATGGAAACATTAACAATTATATCCGAAAATGTTAAAGTAAATACATATTAGTGATGGGGCCATATGGCCGGAGCTGTGATTCTGTCACTGTGACTGGGCCGGAGCTGGTGATCACAGTGACAGGCGCACCGAAATCAGTGACAGTCACTGTAGGCGCTGTGAAATCACTGTCCTCCCAACAGTGACGGTCACTGTAGGCGCTGTGAAATCACAGCTCTGACCACTCCGCTCTATCACTTCTTTTTCGTTCTAGCAATCTGGGCATTGTTGACTTCATTAATTTAATAAATGAATTAAAGAAATAATCATGAAATAATTATTTCTAAAATAATAGTTATTCGTCAAATTTTATTAAAAATACTTTTTGAACTTCAGACGAATTGAGCATTCATTGCCATATATTTCTGAATGAGTTATGTCTGAAATAATTAACAGGAAGTTTTTCATTTATTTAACTGTTGAAATATAAATAAAAAAATTAATTAAAATTTAAATAAATTCAAATATTCTCTGCAGGGCTGTACACTGAAACCAAAGGATCCCAGAGATATTTCCCCCATCAAATAAAAAATTTATCGTAGGAAAAAAAAATTATTTTAATATAAGATGAGAGGAGAAGGAGTTAGTCGAGGGTGCGGTCAAATAAATAAAAAAAAATTAAAATATATAAATAATTTTAATTTTTGCCGACGTTTAGACCCACTTTGCAGGTCGTCTTCAGGGGGAAAGTGTTTTCATTCAATTTTTATTTATTTGACCGCACCCTCGACTAACTCCTTCTCATATCATATCAACGGTCAACCATCTCTACATCATTATTTTAATATAAGTTCAAACGGGGTCGGAGCGATCGA